GGCGGGGTGGCTGGCGCCGCGCCGACTCTGACATGGGAACGAGAGCGAGACGGCGGCGGACGGTATTTGTGTCTCTCAGAACGCCTCTCTTTCCGTCCTCCTCTCCGTCCCAACCGCTATCCTCTTATCCCCCTGTCGGCATCGGCGTACCCCTTCACCTCCATCACCACCAATATTCCCCCCGCTTGGGAACCGTCCATCCATTGCTCGTTTCTCTGCCAGCCGGCCTTCTCAACGCCATGATTCACCCTTGCACAACGCGGCCGTCCCGTGGTATACCGCGCTCTTCATCCCGGGGCCATGTGGCATACGCATCTCGACCCAATAACCTTTTGCATGCAAATCCTTCCTCACGGAACCCCGTCCCTGTCCCATTTCCCTGGCGCACATAGACCGAGTTTTGTGGTTCAATGTATCTTTAATGTCCGCTATCGCGGTTGTACGTTTGACCGGCCGCACGTCAGCTCAGTTTCGGAACGGCCAGCTCAATCTCATTCTGCGGCATTATTTACGTACTGATTTTCCCCAGCCTGACTCCATAAACATTTCCTCAGCCACACCAAGCAGTCGCATCCGATTAAAGCGCATGCCCGGACGGCTCATCAAATTCACACATGGCATTGTGTATTTCGTCTCCCTCCCTCTGGAGCATTCATATCGCTTGACGGTGCTATCTGTTTGTCAATCTGCTCCAGCTGAAACCGTGGTTGATCCATCCCAGCCTTTATGAAAACTTCTGATTGTCACTCGACGTCTCAAGGTGGCCTGATTTTAGCCTTCTAGATTCTTTTCAACCCGATGCCCTAACAGCATGGAATATACGTCTCAACGAATTCGACAGAATAGAGCAAATGATGCGAGATCGTACGCGTGGCTTAATCTCACCTTGCATCTCACGCTCCTCTCCAGACACTGTCTGTCCTAGGATCCATGAAATTCGAGAACGGCCTTTGTCGGTTATCACAACCCTGGGTCTATTGCTCAAGTCACTCAGGGACAGAGCAAGGCGATCTCGTTGCATCTCGAAGTCGAAATCGAATGTCCCAACTGCTCCACAAGTACTCTTGCACATTCTTGGCGGGATTTTCTCAGCGTAGCATCACGAAGGACAACGGAAACAGTGCGCCCCCAATCGATGGTCTCACACGACCTTCTATATCTTCGGCAGCATGGCATGGTGAAATCTCGCGGTCTCCTCGAGCAGGTCTATCGTGCCCTTTCCTTACGTTGCGGCTTTCCAGAAGTAGAGAAAAGTGCCCATATTGATCCATGTGTATGCACTCTCACGCTTTCGAACAGTGGTAGTCACACCTGCCGTAAACTGATAGCGGTAAGCATTCTTCGTCTTATCACGGCTGTGGTATAAGTAATGCGGGGTCTGCACGTTGTATTGGCATTCTCATATTGAGAACATGCCAGGTGAGATTCTTTGGCTGCTGCCTTCCGCAAGTCGAATCAGAGTCTTAATATCTCACGATATCTATCTCGCGCTGATAGATCATTCTCGAAACCGACCTTCATCAAATTATGCACTAAAGGATGCAAACTGGCGTCTTTGGTCCACGCATACTCCCAACGTAGGATAAGTGAACCTTTATAAGGCAATGTTACTCTGTGATTGTCTTGATGCACCATTCTGTGCTGATCGACAACTAAGTAGTGTCCGCCGCCTTGAGTCATACAAAACTTCTTATAGTTCCATAACCCGACTTTTTCGAACTTCAGATTGATAGTCACGCCTGCCTCCCTTAGACGATGATCGCATCCAAGTATGGTCCGCCTCGACTGTGTCGACCTGCTTATAGCCATGACGCCTGGAGCATGAATCAGACGGAAAAGGTTTTTTCCGCCTTCCAAACATAGCTCCCCAAAGCTACAAGGCCTGGACAAAGCTGTCTGCTGGCAGAAGTAATCGACCATGACCGACGGAGCGCCCGTGGACGAGCAGATACGCGAATACTTAGTGCTCATTTTTGGATATGCCGAAGATCTCAGACACTCGATCTGCTCGCTCCATGGCTGTAGGACCCGATTCCCTGGCGGTTTCCGTACGGCTCTGGTTATGATGGCCGCGCAGGATCGCAGTGATGCTTAGGTACCCGGCAAGGTCCTTTGTTCAACGTATGGCACATTGGCATCAAGCTCGGACGCCGAAAATGCGCAGGGTATTGTTCTCCGGCAAGTCGCATTGTCCTGAGGGAGTACGCGAACTGCTGCACGCCGAGCGTCGTCTTGCATGGCATCCTCGTCATGATGAGCAATGTGAGTAACTTGAGCCTCTGCTCAAGCACGACTAGTCGGCGCTCAACAACTGACGCTCGCAGTTCAGCGGTGAACTTTTGCGCCTGTCAGTGTCAAGCAAGCGTAGAGCTCGCCCCATTTCTGCATCTTTTCAGGGCTCCTTGATTCTTTTACGCGCTCACATCGCAACTTCATCTATTCGAGTCGCTGGTCTGGTGCCCCAGGTCTATGAGGAGTACATGCGCGGTTCGCAAGCCGCCGGAATGAAATACGAACATTCTGATTCTTCAAGCCGACGAAGTCCGCCCGAACGGCAGTATCCGGCGCATATAGACACAGCTGCAAGCTTGCAAGCAACTCGCAAAGATCCGTTTTTGAAGGGGCCAGGGCTCTCCCGCTCGTCGCTATATAGACCGTCAAGTGACACCGCACAGGTTCTAGTTGTTGTCGCTTAGACTTAGAGCTCGCATCGTTGTCGCCGTTTCTCCCTAGTCCTTCGAGATACATAGGGATGAGTGCTCCTCAACAAGACAAGTCTGCAGGGTTTCTGATTCTACAGATGCAAACTTACTGCATGGCCTCTAAAACCTGTCTTCCATTCTGGAATCTGTATCTGCTTTGCCAAGTTGCCGAACGTGAGCGTATATATGCGAGTTTCACATTTCTGGCGGAAGCAATTTAGAAGGCCCGAGGGATTTATTTGACTTGCACAAATCTGTGAACATTGGCCTCTCGTGTCGTATATATTGTCCGATATCACTGTGTCATTGCAGTCTATTTGGAGTTCAGGTTGCGCAAGATGCAGTTAAATTCTCGTGGAGAGAAGAGCAAGAAGATCATAAGTCATCCGACTTTCGTCTTATACGCCAATCGCTTATATAGCTGCGCGGACAGAGACGGAGATCGCGAACGTCGGTGACCGAACAAAGCATCACGAGTGTGGCATCAGACTCTTGCATAGTTCACGACTGGATGACTTTGGGCCGTAAGGCTCTGCAGCTCTACTTAAGTACGGGTGTCCGTCCATGCATTTGGCCGCCAGCTTAGCTAGCAAGTTGCCGAAGGATATTTGAACCCCACTTAATGAAGACTGCTGAACGGCGGACACTGCTCGTGTTGGTTGGGAATGTATTTTAAATGTAACTTAATGCTGCATATATTTCTTCGCGTGAAACGTTGGTGTACTGACTTCACGATTCGATCTTTGTGAAGTCAGTGCGACAGCTACGGGTGTTGTCTTCGTCTGAACAAACCGGGCACATACCGTCGAATCCAATGCTGTATGAAACTGTACATAAGGGAGAATGAGGATTTTGTTATGAAGGCAACATAGGAGAAACAAGAAGGACCACGAAACCAATCCATCATATGACTTTTGTATCATCATCCCCCCAAAACAACTGTGTACTATGTAATGATGATGAATCATGGATGTGAGCGGCTATGGGTAGGATAAGGCAAAAGCACAGCAAATCCCACGATACTATGTATCCAATTCCCATACTAAGGTGACAAAATGGATACTGAATTATGCCCATAGAGAGACCTCTGCGCTCGGTGATAGTATCTGTAGAGCAGCTGCAGATCTCTCTTACGAAAAGCCGTTCAGCAGGCGCTTGACGATCTTGGGATCTAAGTAAGTCTCTAAGAGCTGTTCAAGAATCCGCGATTGTTTTAGTCCAGGTTTCATCTCTGTCACCTTCCGAACATGCTCAAGTGAAGCATGTGTCAACTCCTTTTCGTTCGCGTGTATTTCAACGACTCAGTACTCAACACCGACCGGGAATGACAAGCCAGCCCCTTTGCCTCGGAATCTCCACATTCTGCCCCTACTTTAATAGTATCTAGCTGCATTCCAAATTGTGTTAATCTTTGCTCGTCATATCTTTCTTTCTGATTTCCCTTACCTTGATTGCTCTTGTCATTGGCTACAGGTTGTCTCCCCGTCGCACTCCTCTACCGCCAGGTCCAAAGCCGGAATTCTATTATGGAAATTTTCGTCATCTGCCTACTAAATATCCCTGGCGCACATACGAGAAATGGGGCCGCGAGCATGGTGTGTCTCAATTGTTTTCAGAATTATTCCAGGGCATTCAACGATTCTCGTAGGCCCTGTTGTCTATTTCCATGCGCTCAGCAAGAAATACATAGTCCTCAATACATCGAAAGCTGCTGCTGATCTCCTTGATGCAAGGGCCGATATATATTCCGATCGTCCCATGTATACTTTCGTACTAGAGCTTGTCGGACGCAAGAAGGCTGTCTCTAACTCCTCGTCCGTACATCCGCATTTCAAGAAGTATCGAAAAGTACTTGCCACTGGTCTAAACGCGCGAGCCACAAAGAGCTATGCCAACCTCCAGACGGATCAGCTCCATTTACTCCTCCTAAACTTAGTGAAGACTACGGAGCAGTTTATCTCGCATATACAGAGGTAAGCTCTGTTCATCATCCTCACACAGATATTTTAAATCCTATTTTTAGATATGGGGTCGCTGTCATTCTCAAGTTGACGTACGGGTGGACGCTCTCCGAAGGCGCCAATGACCCCATTCTCTCTGTCGTGGACGAAGTGTTGAATTTGCAGCGAGAGCTTACGCGTACCGGCAGATGGCTTGTTGATAACTATCCGATTCGCATGTCTCTTTCCCTCCTATTTTTACATACTGGGTCTCTGATCATGCACATAGTAAGATATGTTCCGGAATGGTTTCCCTTTGCAAGCTTCCAGCGTGCTGCTCGAAAATACAAGACTCAGTTTCTACAGATTGATGAATTCCCATGGAACTGGGTTTAGGAGCAAATTGTGAGTATGAACGCCAAATCGCCAGAAGTTCTGGACCTTGGATAATTTATTTACTTTGTTTTTGAATACTCTGTCTTGCTTAATGCTAGCTCATGCATTCGATCAGGCATCCGGTACCTATTCCGACTCTTTCGCCTCCTGCAGTCTCCTTGCCCTTGATTCTGTTCCGCGGGATGACGTAGCAGAACAGGAGGAAGTTGGGAAGTACACGAGTTGCCTTGGATGCCGGAGGTGAAGATACAGTGCGTTTACATTGCAACTCGCTCGCCTCTTATATCCTTTCTCTCACATACAATCTATGCAGACGGTCGCATCGCTTCAGGCTTTCATTCTTGCCATGACCTGTATCCTGAAATATAGACTTGTGCTCAATAGGAACTTGCAGCCACAATAGGTCATCGCTTGCCCACAATGGACGATAAAGAAGCTTTGCCGTATTTGAACGCAGTCGTGCGAGAAGTCCAGAGATGGGCGCCGATTGCTCCAACTGGTAAGTCGGGTTATAACTTGCCCTGTGTCCATAAATTTATTCACACGACACAGGCGTGTCCCATCGCGTGACGGAATATGATGTGTATGAGGGCTACTTCATCCCGAAGGGCACAACTGTTATTGCGAATTTTTGCTGAGCGTGTATTCCGTGCTTTTGATTCCTCTCTTACGATGAATACCGTAGGGCAATATCGCGCGACGAATCTGTGTATCCCAAGCCTGACGTCTTTGATCCTGAGCGCTATCTCGGAGAGTCCCCACAGCCAGATCCGCGGCGCTGGGTATTTGGTTATGGACGGCGTGTATGTTCTAGTGCGTGAAATTTCTTTGCTTTCAGGCTTACATTTGCCAATCAGGTTTCTGTGCGTGGCATCGCTGACGGTTCTCCTCTCCCCACAAGGCGCGCACTTTGCTGAGATGTCAATATTCCTCACGATAGCAAACATATTGACGGTATTTGACATCAGAAAGACACGAGATGCAGGAGGACGTGAAATCATCCCCGAGGTTGCATTCACCTCAGGACTTGTCAGGTATGTTGTGTTTAGGACAGGTGAATGATTGCCATGCTCAGCTACATGAATCCTCCTTCCCATCTCATATAGCCATGTCATGCCGTTCAAATGTGATGTTACGGTGCGATCCTCAGACTTGAATGCATCACTTGAATCTAGCTATGTGTTAGATATGGGATTAAGGACCACAATCTTGCTACTTGTAGTACCTCCGTACGAAGAGATTAGATATTCCCAATTGCCTTCATAATGTATTTTCCCTTTTGTTTGCTCTCTGTCACGCATTCCAGGACACACCACACGCGCTATGCATAATTATCTAGCAATAAGTCACATTGCACATCGCCGGTTTGACTACTGACGTCCCAGCAGTGAAAAACACATAGGAAGGTGGTTATACTGATACATGCTTCACATGACATCAACTAATTAACTACTTTACAAGCATCGTAGGGGAGCAGACATATCGACTACTCAGACATACGCGCATCTTCAACTATTTCACGGGAAACACTCTTGTCCCCTTGCTCTTGCGAACAGCTGGCGATATTTTCAGTCATAAGAACGTCATCTTCGACAGCACATTCATTCTCCTTGGCCCAGTGCCAGCTGTCTTCCCTCCATGTCCACACAGGCTTCATTCTCATCACGGCACTCAGCATGGCTCTCTCCTGACGGGCATGTCGCTCCAAAATACCTTTATGGACTATTGACAAGAAGCAACTCGTAGATTGGCCGCTCTCCAGGATCAATCACCCCATGAATGTTTTCCGAGTACCCATACGCAAATGCAGTATACTGTGGATGGACGCTGGGTTTTTATTTGTGTTTCTGACCTGCAAGTGTGTGAGTGAGTTTTACCGGGGTCAATGCACCCATCTCGGCTCCTTTGGGGGGGTGGTGAACCTCGTCGACTTCTAGATAGATCTGCTGCGTTTCGGGTTCCGAGCTCCACCACCAACACGATGACAGGGCGGGTATCATTCCCGGAGGGCAAAAATTGCATTGTGCTGATGTCGAAATAATATGCAGCAATCGACCCCTGCTGGAGACGTCGTTTAATGGACGCCATGAGGACGGTCATCAAGCTCTCTTGCAGGGGACCGCATCCATCAAAAACGGGCAACAGTGCATCCACAGAAGGTTCTCCATGCTTACATATGAGTGCCATCCCTCGCATATAGCAATGCAACATGGCTTCCATCGTGATTCCGCTATTATCGGCAAGCTTTACAAAGTGCATGAATCGGATCTGTGCATGTTCAAACGCCTTGAACAGTGGCTCGCCATGCTCAACATTGCAGGGGGCCATTTGAAGGATAATACAGAATAAGTGTTCGATAAAGTTTGTCACCAAACATCCATTACTGTAGTTCACGTGCCTGACCTCTGCTTGCTCCGACTCAACGGCACGGTCGTATGCCATGGTAAGGAGCGCTCGTGCGATTACTTCTCCACGCTCTCCGAGATCAATAAGCCCTCCTGCAAGTGCTTCGCTGAGGATTTTTGGAATTGAGATCAAGTGCTCCCGGCGGAAAATGGCCAATTGTCGAGCTGCCACCTCAGTCAGGACGGGCTCGGAAGGATAACCTGAATACACATACTTGTGACTTTGGGGTATCGAATATGCTATTCGCATGTGGCTTGCAACTAAATCGTCCGTAAGATCGTGCGTTGCTTCGCAGTGAGGTTCGTAGTCCAACATTAACTTGATGTCAACCATCGCGATGCAAACTGTAGGTGAGGGCTTGTCGTGGATTCGTTAGGTACACAGCGATTTTAATTGAGCAAAGCGTATCATATCATCCGCCATGCATGCCTTCTAAGCTTCGTCCTTTGCGCTTGCCAACATTATCCAGAAGCTGTGCACGGGAGTAGAATAAGTCAGAAAGAGGGCAAAGAACAATGATATCCTCTTACAGAGATCATCCAAACTGCGTCATAAATTCCACAGTACTCAGATCCTCCATCGTGACTTTGCAAACATCCAGCGGAAATCGATCGGAGCAATAGAAGGGAGCTTCGGTGATCGGCGCCTGGACTGATGCAAAGTTTTTTTGAAACCTAGAAGATCGAGCCATAGGCTTATTCGGGGCAAGGTGCTCTACATAGAATTCTGTGAACAGGAAAATGACGAAGACGGGATTAGGCAGGAAGTACAATAGAATAGAACAAAAGACGTCGTACAATGTCTTTTTCTGCAAAACAAAATCTTCAGTGACGAGAGGCACAGCACCTGAGGGAGCATCCTGATCTGTCAAGACGTGAGCCTCGTCGAAATGCAACATGATTTTGACATTGTCAGCGAATATCCCCTTTCGATCTTGAACATGGCGGTCAATCTCGGCCTCAAGTAAGGCCAGTTCTTTACAGGCCTCCGCCTCAACAATGTCCATATTTTTGTCTTCGATTCGCTCTTCGATCTTGAGAGTTTACTATGAGAGCCTGTGTCCAAGTTATAATGAAGTAACTCACCCGTTGGGCTTTCACTACGGTCCTATATAGCCCATTACGACGTGTCTCATTGACATCGGGAAAGATGCTGGATCGGTACTCCCGCCAACAACCCGCCAGATCCGTATGGTTTTGTTGTGACGGTATATACTCAAAGCTTTCCTCGTTTCGCGGAAGATGTGCTTGAGCCAGTTCACATAGTATACACGTAGGCGCTCTTGTGGACATGCTAATACTAGATGATTACGTATTTCAGGCTCGGGAGGGGGATAGGGGAGACCTGCAAGATCAAAGCTTTATCAACGAGCTTTTGTCTCTTCGAAACCAGAGGCTGCCTACCTGGAGAGTCTGCACTACTACATAGGTTAAACGGCAGCGTGAAGACCGCCCTTGCTTGTTGGTCTACCATCGGGACTTTCCCGTACCCAAACTTTGGACTAGCGGTACCAAATTCCCGTAAGGTTCACCCCTATTTATCTTGTTGATAGATGCTAATACGTGTGCGTGGAGCTCGCCATTGTAAGACAACGACCACGCAGCTTTTATAGCTGATGGATAAATGAGTCGCTATATCAGGGGCAGATGCAAATTCCCCCTGCCTTACCTTGCCATGACGACTCAGTTGTCAACGGAGTAATCGACCTTTATTGTTGTAACCGAAGCATTTCTTTGTGGTGTTTATCAGCTAATACAGCCAAGATGACAATACATGTACAACTTACTGAGCCCTCCTCTGGGTACCCTCTCACAAGGGAGTGCCCCAGAATGAGTTTGTTGATGAACTTGCTAAGGAAGCCTTCGGGGGGGAGCAACCGGAGTTTGTGTCTCAAGCCAGGGCCGTGGCAGACTGCCTGACCAGGGCGAGGCGAAGGTGAAATGGGCACATGCTTGGCGGTCACACAAATACAGGGGACAACGTATGTGGATATTTCGGAACCACAACCCCCTTCACCATATGGCGAAATTGTCGTATCCCATGAACACTCTTGGTAAGGATAACCAGGAGTTTGCGCGGGCTGTGAGGGTCTTGACCAATCACTTCCCTAGTGGCTCATACCGGGAGGAGTACCACATACCGGGTCCGATGCACTGTCCATGCTCCGGAGGTGCAGACACCAGGGAACGCATGCTATTTGAGTGCCCAATGTGGATACGACACAAGGCGGGCAGTCTGCATACATATATGGTGGATGATCTCAAGCATCTGCAAATACAACACCAGTGAGGTTGGACAGAGGATGATGTTCTCATCTTTCTTCAGCTCAACCCAATGGTTGCAACGTTTGAGTGGGCAGAGATCCTAGCTCAGGCCGCAGCGGACCGACAGAATGGCGACTTTTCGTCCGTAGCCAATGCGTTACTATATGCTCATACTCTCTGGCACAAAAATGCGTTCCGGAGATTCTGCTCTGACCGCCACCTTATCGAGGAAAAAGTTTTACCTGGTAACCCAGCATGGGACCAGTTCACTTCCGAGTATGAGGCTGATTATGTCGCCTCCCAAATTATGGAGTCATGGAAGGTTGAGCCGGACCGTTACCCACCACCCGCGTTCCTGGGGGACGTTGCATGTCAAGTGGACTATATTCTACCCCAAGGGGGGACCCGGGATATGAACAATGACGGATCTGGCTGAATACCAGCCGTGACAGGTTAGATAAGATTTGCATTTCTCAACACTCTACATGTATCTAAGGGTACGGAGTATAAACCACCTGAATATAAAGTAAAAAACTTACTGAGCCGGCACACAGTAGAACAATCCTGCGTCCGTATGGTATTGGCCAACAGTTCCCTTAGGTGTTCATTCTTGCATATGAACGCGGCATTTTTTGAAATCATTATATTTTGGATCGATGTTTACTCCGTGATCTGACGTATCGGATACAATCTGCAACAATACGTATGTAGCAAGCACAGCCGAATCGCTGATCATGTCCGCGTTGAAACCCAGGATTACTTTGAGAATTTGGGCATTCACTGAGGAGCGAATTGAATCAGAAAACCCATCACTGAGTAAAAACTCGAGTTCAGGCATCTCAGTGACAGGGGCAGCACAGTCAGTGGTGTGTATAATGCACTGCCCGTTCTAACAAACGAGCTGTTTTGCAGCGGAGCGAGGGCCCTGGAAAATCCCCTATGAGCCTCGATCCCTCGTAGAATGCATTCACCGTTTTCGAGCTTCGACTGGCATGCGAGTCCATGGTGCGGTGCCCGCCTGCAGCACGTTGTGCAGCACAGCCGGAGGGAAACCGGGATCAATTTGGTCGGAGGCAGGATCGGCTGTTGCCGCGGGCAACACAAGACGGGGGCAATCAGCTCAGCACAGGTTGTCCTTTCTTTCTCTCCTCTCACGACGGCCTCCTCGACCAGCGCGGCTCCGCCCCCTTCCTGTCTCTCCTTGTAGCTCTCAAGCACATTCGCTCGTTGCACCCCCATTCTCGAAAGACATAATGTTCGCTCGCTCGGTCGTTGCTGCGCTCGTCGCATTGCCCTACTTCGCTCACTGTAAGTTTTCGTGTATTCTCGTGGCATTCGCAATTTTCGTCCTGAGCTACCGCTCGACAGTCACCCTCGCGCAAACTTGCGCTCGCTCTTACACCGTCCAGGAGGGCGATGACTGTAACAGCATTTCTGCTGCTCATAACTCCTCAACGTGCGTCGTGTCTCCACCATTGGGTCCGTCTTTCTGAGTGATCATTTTTCGCCAGCTATCAGCTTGCCACGGTGAATTCTGGTACCGTCAACTCTGATTGCAGCAACCTTGTTCCCGGCGAGAGTCTCTGTCTAGGTTGGGTGGGCTCGGATTGCAGCAACACTTACGTCGTTGACCTTGGCGACGATTGTGATACCATTGCGTCGACGTTCAACATCAACACTACGCTGCTTTATGAGAACAACCCAAACATCGACTCTTCCTGTGACAACATTTACGTCGGCGAGGTTGGTTTCACAATGATATGAAATAGATGGCCGATCGCTGAACTTCACCGCAGGTTCTCTGCGTTGCGAATGACGTCGACGTTCCTGTTGCCGGGTCTGCATCATCTGCCCCTGTTTCGACCGTTCCGGCATCTACCCCTGTATCGTCCACTCCAGCGTCCACCCCTGCATCATCCATCCCGACCTCCACCCCTTCCACTGCGTCGTCCGCCCCTGCTCCCACGTCCACTGCCACTGATGGCTCTGAGGACGATGGTGATGACGATGACGATGACGATGGTGATGACAGTGACCTTCCGTTCTGTGATGAGCTCTAGGCTTCGCTGACTGGGAACAGAGTATCGGGTGGGAGGTCTTTTCAGGAGCCTGCCGGTTTTGTTCCTTGTCCTCCTGCAATTCCTGTTCCCTTTTGCAGTGCCTTTGATGCGTCCGTGCTCATGCGCTCTTCTTGATTTCTCTCATACTGCCTCTTGTCGTAGGATTCACTGGTTGATTCGCTGGTTATCTCTTATACCTAACCCGTATTTGTGTCTGCATGTGCGGATGGCCTAAACGTTGTCTTTGGTAGTTGTGTGGCTTCCTGGTGTCTGTCACGGTGAATATATACATGGGTTCAGTGGGCCTAGTGCTTGTTCTGCAATTGTGATGTGTATATGCTTGCGCGAAATAGTATCATTTTACAGCTAAACTATCCATTCTCGGGCTTGGCTGCGGCTCGTGGTGCATATGCAGGTTGCCTGCCGCGACGACGCGTCTGGCCGGACATGCACCTGACGCGTCGTTTGGACGTCCACGATTTTGTTGTCCTGTCCATATGCATTCTGTTCAATCGCCTCCATGAACCATGAAGACCATGCAGCCCAATGTTCTGAGACGTCCTATATGCAGCTCTTCTTCAAGGCTCGAGTACGGTCTCAGAAGAAAGCCAGCTCCTAGCACGCACACGCTGAGGCGCTGCTGGTCCGCTCAGCCTGCAGTTCGTGCGCATGTACAGGAGAACGTCAGCATTTCCTCGCCTCCGCGGTTTACTAGCACCAAGGCCCTAGGGGGTTCCGTCTCTCCGTCCCTTACTCGCATGTCTAACACCAGCTCTGCGGGGTGCCTCCTGACACACTACCACGACTCAGACCAGGTTTACACTGCTCATCTGTCTGGTCAGGACGTCCTGGCGCCGCTGAC